TAGGTGTTGTAGAAGGCATAATGTTATAATTGTTCTACATAGAGAACATTCCAATATTCGTGGAGAATGTTCTCTATAACCACAGCCAGTCGCCGTGCTTGTGGATCAGAGAGAGGTTTGCTACCATGCGAATAGTTGTGTACCAGGACGGTGGGGGGTACCGGTATCGGTTTACTCTTAGCTGCGTTTCCTGGTGGGAACGCTGGTCTCTTTCTCAGCTTAGGAGACTCTGCGGTGGGACGAATCCCTTCGTTGTACATCGCATCCCGATACCCAGGAACACCTCCCAGCCATGATGAGGAGGTAAACCGTTGGTAGAGAAAGAAAACGGTAATAAATGAACCCTGTTGTTCCGTGTTGATCCATTTACGCAGCAGACAAAGGGGTCCACTTGGAACTGTAATTGATTAATAGAGTCACGGTCATTCGTGAATACCAACTTGTATAGAGAGCGTTTTTCGTGAAATTCTTCCACTTAAACACGTTTTTCATTAGATTATGTATTTGCATTGTTACTCCACTACGTAACTTATTGTATTATAAAATACTTGGTACAACGTCCGCGTGCGTGTTCCACATTCATAATCCCTCTTAACCATTGGGCACGCTACCAGGCATACTACCGGGTGCGTTTCATTGCTTGGGGAATAGACCCCACGACCTAAGCCTTGACCCTGCAACCAACGCCACTGGCTTGGACATAGTCACGCCCATGAGCACCGTCATTTGGCTTCTGACGACGCCTTGGAGTTCGCGGTTGCCATTCCATCATCATTTCCTCCCCGCTTAGTCTTTCTTCACAAATCCATTTGTTTAGGTTGTAATGATATTAACTGAAATCCTTAGCTCTTGCATTGCTAACACATTAATGCTGTCGTTGATTGCCATGTAATTACGTTCTGTTGTTAACATAAATTGAGTACTTTCATTACTCACAGGTACTCCACCCAGCAATTCACTCTTATTGCTGAAGCACTCCCGCGAATGCTTTTCGCATTCTTCAGCTGTGAGCTCTTAAAGCGTAGCACTGTTGAAACCATAACAATATTTTTACGCAATCAGTATGTGCTAATTACTCATATTCTCAGAAACCTGTTGCATAATGCTCGATACTATTGTTAATGCATTTTATTAGGTACAAAAACCACCTAGGTTTTGATAATTAAATGTAAGACGGAACATGTTGGTAGTTTAGAATGCAGGAATGGGATGTCTGCTGAATAAAGGAATACTCAATTCCTCCCGAGCTCTTCGAGCTGAACTTTCGAGCTGAATTAATTTGTCACTGTGGTCGGCGTAACAAAAAACAAGTATACTTTCATGATGCCATAATAACAGCAGAGACCTTTAAAACTCAGTTTGCTGATATGCGGTGAGTTAAAAGTTTTATAGAGATGGTCTTGTTGCAACTGGCAGGACCAATTAGTGCACCCCGTTTCGCGCTGAAGCAGCTTGTAACCAAAATTTGCATATCTTTGTCCAGAGCTACGTAAATGACAGTGTCGGAAACACCTAGTGAGAAGTAAAAGTAAGAAGAGTAAGAAGAGAAAGTAAGAAGTAAGAGTAAGAAGCTATACTAATCATTACACCAATATGTTTTTCTCTAAAAATTTATCACCGGCACAAAGCAATCCAAAAATGTAGAATGGACCAACGGTGGCAGCAATACGTAAGCCTGTTATTGCAGTTATGCCAACAAAAACGCTTGGAAGCGTGACAAACACCAAAGATATAAGGAGGACACCAGCGCAGTTGCGGTTGGCGTGAATTTGATCACACAACTACATCACTTTTCCAATATTGAAAAAAAATTACAGTCTACCTGTTTAAACTTCTTTTCTCTCGACATCAAAGCGCCAGCTGGTTGTGGCTTATGCTGTATGGCCCGGAGTTTCACGATGATTAAATTCATCAGAACAATTACCATAATGTCCATTACCTAATGGAGAACAGTTACAAGATATACAGATGACATCAAGGTAGAACAAATTCACCGTGTTGCCGATTCCCTAGTAAAAGCGGAACTTGACATCTAAAAAGCACCGAACAACCCCACAGCCCGGAGTCCTGTTGAGCTTTGAAAATGAGAGTTCCAGAATGACATCGAAAACCCCCAGTAAAAATCCGACAAACAAGCAGAAAGTTGCATACGAGCAGAAGTACAAGTCACGAATCACGACTGGGAACGATAGAGCCTGAAGAAGTTTACACTTCACGGGAACCGATTTTTGAGAGCTAACTTACCATTAATCTCTCCGCAGCAACAGATATGGTCAACGTAAGGTTAATCTTCAGTTGACCAATAAAGAGAGCACCCGCGATTATTACATAGTATGGATTTAGGTCGAAATTTACTGGATTCTAAGAGCATTGGAGATAAATAGAGTATGGAAGGGCTGAAAAGAGTGCCTGAGCTAACAGTCATATTTTTTATTTCGCACTGTTTGATTATCAAACAGATAGATTTACATGCCACGGCATGAAGAAAGTCCGTAATCGTTAGAAATCACTAACCGTGAGGAATTCTAGCGAAGGGTCTTCTGCCTTCAACAGAATCAAATCTATATCTACAGATTTTATCTCTGTTCAATAAAACATCGAAGATCAACACAAAAAATAGTGAACTGTTTTATTGTCAGCTACACTTGGTTATTAAGAAGATAATGAATCCATTGTAGATTTGTTTAACGTTTTGTTTTCTGCCTTCTATAATTTTCATGGCAGGTTACTAAGCGAAATACAACCACAACGTTGCTGAGATATTTGCAAAACTCTGGACCGCAGGTGTCTACGGTGGGGAACGAACGCGCTATTATCCTTTCCGGGGAGTAACGCGTTCACCACCACACCATGCGGGTCCTTTGTTTCGCACGTCTCTCAGCCATTGTAGATTATCACTGCTAGTTGAAGCACGTTGTAATGCCAACAACCAGATGAGAAAACTTGATTGTCATGCCGCAGGTGAATTTGAACTCGTCAAATCTCTGTTTAGCGCTTTCAATCAATACTGATGGTAAATGGCACATTTAGAACATGCAAAAAACGATATCGACTTGCCGAAATGCCTATTTCAGCGAAGCCTTGTAAACAATGCGGAGTAGCGAAACGAGAGCATTGATATTGCGCGAAAAATGTGTTGTATAAGCAAATGGGTGTTTGAAAGACGACGAGGAAAAAGTCAGATGATTGGCTTAATTTTGATTGTCAGATAATATAATGGTTTGTGAAGAAAAACCATTAATCAAAACTGCTTAGTTTTATGTGCATTGAGAACACTGACAGCTGAAAACGAGGATGAGGGTGGAACCTTCCCAGAACTAATCACCATAAGGGATGTTTAAAATGAAAAAAGCTAGGGTGCAACGGTGGTTCGCATGGTTCTCAAGGAAGAATCAACGAAGCTGGTTGCAATAATAGGGAACAGAAAGCCATTGAAGAGAAAAGCCACATCCAGATAGATGACGCATACGCGTCTAATCAAGGACAAAATTAAGAAACGAACTCTTTCTATCGAGGCGAACAATCAATTTCACAATGGGGAAAAATTCGACAAGAAGCGGCAGGAACACGAAGTTCTAATCAACTTCTGGTGGAACTCTGTTCATGACTCATGTTTTTAATAGTTGAATAGCTGGTTTCGTGTAACGCAGTGGTTTGAAGTGCCCTGCAATACTCAGTAGATTAGTGGCCGGTTTAACTGTGCACTCTGGTCTCTGCAATTCCTCCATTCTTCAGGTTTATCAGGTTGGTGCCAGACTTTTTCGGGAAGATAGCACCACTGACATTATATAGTGTAGGCCCTTGGACGCCATCGTGTGGGCCAGCTGGTCTTCAATCACCTTTGCGATGACTGATGAAGTCAAATGTATGACGCATCTCTAACGAATTGACCAACGCCGAATACTTCAAGCTTTTCTTTATACATCAATATTTTCATCGTCTGCTATGCACTTCATTTATAATCCACTCCATCACCATTCTAAGACGTTGTGTTTCTTTTCACAATTCTCCTTAACATTGCTAGACCAAACTGTCGCAGGTTTCCAAACTCGTAAGAGATTTCTGTGTTTGTAGATCTCTGAATTTCAGTATTTTTTGCTGTATTTATCCCACGTTCTTATGGAAGCTCCTGCAATGTCGCGAAGAGTCAGCCAACTCCGAAATTTAGGCTGGCGCTGTGCGAATCACATTGTGCAAATCTGCCGTTTATACATCCTTTGCCCTGTGCTGTCAATCTATCCTGACGTTGCTGTTCCTCCCGATTCTCGTCATTGCCACAAAGCGAACGAATTCTATGGGTTTAGGTCCGCGTTTGAATCTATACAGAAACTTTTCTTTTTCGATTTATTCAAATAGACCAAATGAGCACCGGTAGCGCAAAAATGGCCACAATATATGTAAAAATCTTTGGAAAGAAACAATAATCACATAACACTTGAAATCAGTAATATTCTTATGATTAACCATTGGCATCTTAATGGAATCCACTAATTAGTTAAATCTCAGGCTACGCCAGCATTAAATGCTTTGGTCAGTCGGGCTGAAATCAATCCCGTGATTTATAGCAGACTTCAATTTTCTGCTCGTCAACGCTTCGTCTCGAAATCCGCATGCGAGTTGTGATTCCTCTCTCTATTCTGTTTTATAGTGCATTACAATGTATCATTTTCGAGGAAGTTTCCTGGACTTGGAAGCGGAAGTGTAGGCCATTAATTCCCACTACTGGCTTTATATTAATCTCGGCATTGGTCGAATTCACTGTTTCTCTTGATGAGCAAACACGTGGTTGTTACTTTATTCTTCGTTTATGAACAAGCTGATGTTTCGACGGATTTCATCTTTCTGTGAGCCTGGAAAGGTCATATCTGACTCCAATCTGCCCAGCAAGACACTTCCATGACCGAACAGGGAAAATTCTAAACTGTGCTTTTGATCGCATTGAAAACAAGTTAGCTTCTTCACACACCCAGCGCTTTTTACGAGTCTTCCACTGAGTATTTCATGTGAAGACGAACGCAGAGTTCAAATGGAGGCGTAACGTGTCTCTCACATTAAAATATCAATGTTAAGTACTGTGTGAGATCAGGCGTGATTACGAGGCATTCCTCCCTGAAGAGGTGGTGGCTAATAGAATTGATCCCACGTTTCTCCCCATCTAAACTCATTTTTAAAGTTATCCACGCGTATGTTCGCATGTATTTGACATGGACTTCGTGATATACTTCGAAACAAAGCCAGAGTTCAAGAACTAAATAGGAGTGATCAGCAAGAAGTAGAAGCATTACTAGCATCGCCATTTCTTCAACCATTCTGTAGACAGCGAGAACCCAATTATTAAGTTGATATTAGGTTTTCGACTTTTAGAAACGAGACTCTCAAGATCCATAATCACTATCGCGGAAGAGATATCGCTCCAACCCAACAGAAGTTTAAAAATGTGGCATCCGGGGTGAAGGGGAGGTGATAAGGTTAAAATGCATTAGACTATCGGTAGTGATGAGAGTACAGAGTTTGTAGTAGTTCCTCACTAGTTAGACGTTAGGATAACGATGAAGCTTCTTGAAAATCTTTGTCTGTTTCGCCCATCTTCTGAGAAGGCATTCAAAAGGCAATGCTGGAAATTAAACAAGGAATGGGTCAAAATGGAAAGCCTGCTGGCTTGAAAGCAACATTTACCTCTCAGCTGAAACTTAATTTATCAACACCTTTCGTCTTATACTTGCCGGAACTCACAAGCTAGTATCCAGTGATGACCTTGTGTCTGCCTATCCATTGTTACTCAAGGCTAGACCTATCATTAGCTTTTTAGACGGGGCAATGGATAGAATAACGTAGCTTTTACACTGATACTTTCCCATTGTTAAAACACATCCTAACCTATTTTATGAACAACCAAATTTTTTTTGTCCACATAACGTGCGTCCTAACGGCGCGTACGTAATGGAGTCCTTCGACGTAACCGTCCTCAATACAAACGTGTCAAATGACTCCATTGTGCAAGCTAACGTCGAACTCCTCATACAATACGACGATCAATGAACATGTATGGCTTCACGATACAACAATTGATGACAGTCTTAAAGTGCCTAACCGGCTCTATCTTCAGGTGGTTCAGGAAGTATTACGCGCAAATGAGAAGGTTAGCAATGAGACAACAACTGATATAAAGGCTAGCCATTGCATTAATGTCCAAGGATGAAACCATCAGTTTTCGATCTCTGGTCGCCACTCGGCTGTAGATATTTAGATGATTGTTTTATCACCTTCTCTACGCAGGAGGAGATTGAGAAATGTTTTGAATTATTGAACAAGCAGTCTGAGTACATTAAATAAACCTGGGAGAACCGAAAGAAAATTGGCTTTCACTTCTCTAAAGTCCAAATTTACTTATTACATATTGGTCACGTCGCAAAATGGTACCGGAAACCAAATAACAAAAACATCCTTGTTCATGTCCTCGCTTCACCCTTAAGGCCAAAAGGACGCCTTTAAGGAATATGCTTTGAACAATCATCAACGTATGCAAAGGAAGTGAACAGAAGAAGGAATCCGGTAAATTAGAGCGGCAAATAACCATTTCCAATTGTCACAAAACTGTAGCTCTTCTGCGTAGGCATAGAGGAAAACCCAAGCGCCCAGTGGATAACTATAACGATAATAAGATCCCGTTTACCATTTCAAATTAAATAAGACCAGCTGTAACTGACAACAACCATTTCAACTACAGCCGCAGCTTAACTGGGTTTTAAACCGATTTGGGCGCCCCAGATCAATCCCGCTGACGGGTGATTGCTGTGGCAAAGATCGATAGAAATAGCTGAGAGACAGGCGAAACAAAGGACCCGCATGGTGTGGTGGTGAACGCGTTACTACCCGGAAAAGACAATAGCGCGTTCGTTCCCCACCATAGACACCTGCGGTTCAGAGAAAAATTACCGCTTATTTTTAAAAAACCAACAAGACTGTAAGGACTGGGAATAAGGTGCCTTACGAATGGCTTATAAAGAATTCGCAAGCCCCCACGTGAACACAAGGAGGTGAATACCTATAGTGATGATAAATGACCAAAGACGACCTATTTTTCTTTATTTCTTCTCCCCTTAAATAGTATGAGGTAGGACTATGGAAGAATATTTCTACCAAGACGGAATGCCGAATATGTTGAAAAATTGACTGTCGTATTGTGAAATAAATAATTTCATAAGCGTGAAAAAACGGCGTTCAACGTTGTTCAATACCTAATGTATGCGCCATGCATTCGACTTGATTAGACATCGTCACAGGTGATACAATGCATGTCTAGCCTATTTAATTAGTTGCCGTGGCCTACCAATGTACCGAAGCAGTACTGCTATTTCTTC